AGCAGCAGCAGCAGTAGTAGGGGCAACAAGTGTCAAACTTTGATCTTTACTGTGAACGGGAAAGGCTTAGTAGACACAGAAAATTCCATTACTTGGTATCCAGCTAATACTCTAAAAGAGAATCGATACCTTCGGGGGAAAAACGGCGCAAATGTCCGCTTCCAACGTCGCAGGGCGCTTGTGTGTGTGCTCGTGCGTGACAAAGAACGTGTGTATTAGTGTGTACATGTATACGTGTTGAACTTTGTGTGTGTATGTGTTAACAGAAAGCAGGGCGGGAAGAAGTAGATGTGTCAGTGCTGTTAAAAACGATAGAAGGTTACTGTAAGTATCCTTTTTAGTTTTTAGTATGAGTTTTGCGGCACTTGTAAAACATATTATGTCCAAGTATAAGTGCCGAAAATAAGATGCCTGTCCCTTTTTGCTTTCTTGGAAAAAAGTTTTATGTACCTGGTAATGGTGTTGGAAATAAGTTGTATATGGCGTGGCGTTGATACATAGTATTGTGTAGTGGTGTTGAAACAAAGTTGAGATAAAGTAAGTTGCATGTAGTGGTGTTGAAATAAAGTTGAGATAAAGTACGTTGTATGTAGTGGTGTTGAAATAAAGTTGAGATAAAGTAAGTTGTATGTAGTGGTGTTGAAACAAAGTTGAGATAAAGTAAGTTGTATGTAGTGGTGTTGAAACAAACTTTAAATAAAGCATTGTATGTAGTGGTGTTGAAAATAAGTTGTAAGTAGCGTGGTGTTGAGACATAGACGTTGTATATATGTATGTAGGCTAGTGGCGTTGAAACAAAGTTGAGACAAAGTTGTATGTAGTAGTGTTGAAAAAAAATTGCTTGTTATGGTGATGGGACAATACTTGTATGTAGTAGTGTTGAAACAAAGTTGTATATAATGGTGTTGAGACATAGTTGTATGTAGTGGTTGGAAATATGTTGTATGTTATGATGTTGGAGACATGCTGTATGTAGTGGTGTTGGAGATATGTTGTATGTAGTAGTGTTAAGACAAAGTTATATATAGTGGTGTTGAGACATAGTTGTATGTAGTCAGTCGTGTTGGAAAAAAGTTGAGACATGATTGTATGTAGTCGTGTTGGAAAAAAAGTTGAGACATAGATCTAGATCTAGTTGCTTGTTGTGGTGATGGGACGAATTTGTATGTGGTAATGTTGAAACAAAGTTGTACATAATGGTGTTGGAAATATGATGTATGTAGTGTGTTGGAAATATGTTGTATGTAGTGGTGTTAAGACATAGTTGTATGTAGTGGTGTTGAGACATAGCTGTATGTAGTCGTGTTGGAAAAAAGTTGAGACATAGATTTAGTTGTAAGTAGTGGTGGTAAGACAAATTTGTTTGTAGTGGTGGTTAGACAAAGTTGTGTGTAGTGGTGTTGAGACGAAGTTGTATATAGGGGTGTTTGGAATAAGTTGTGTGTAGTGGTGTTGGGAATAAGTTGTGTGTAGTGGTGTTACGAATAAGTTGTTTGTAATGGTGTTGAGACAGGTTGGAGTTTGAATCCTGTCAGTCACTATATTGGTTTTTTAAAAAAACGTGGGTAGCTCTAAGCACTAAGTGGATCATACGGCCTGTTTGGTTGTATGACGAAAACGGAGCCACACAAACGGCCAGTGCATGTCCTTATTTGTTTGTCCTTCGTCTGTTGATGCCTCGTGACTCAATGGAGCAGGGGTAGATAGGATTAACGCTAACATTACATAAACGCAATCCCGCATTACCACTCATCCCCACCATTATTCTAAAATCACCGTTGCTCTCAGATCCTTGACTTACACAATTCCTTGAATCTCTATCTGCAATAGTTACACATTGTTACTAATTATGTACGTAATACGCCATTGGACACTATTAGTATTATACGCACTTTTTTCTACAAATCAGATGGCGCCAATCTCATATCAATGAGCAAGGGACACAAAAATAGTCTGTTGAAGCCTGGGATGTTCTGCGATTATGAACCAAGAAGTTAGAAATGGTTAATTCAGGTTCGGGCAGCCCCTCACCGCAAAACGTGTCTTAATTTGGATGAAAGGACATTTTAGAGCTCGCGTCATCAGTCGTGAAACAGAGCATCCATGGGCACCACACCGTCCGAATTTGGACCTACTTGATTTTGAGTTGTTTCTCTGGGGTTATCTCAAAGATGAAATCTCAGATGATAGATTCGCAACCCATCAGAAACTCAGAAACTGAGTAAAGGAACTTGTGTGTCGAGGAACATATCAATATGAGCCAAGGAACATATGAGTCAAGGAACGTGTTAGCCAAGGAACATATGAGTCAATGAACTTGTGTGTCGATGAACATTTGAGTCAAGGAACATATAAGTCAAGGAATGTGTTAGTCAAGGAACATATGAGCCAAGGAACTTGTGTGTCGATGAACATTTGAGTCAAGGAACATATGAGTCAAGGAAAATACATGTATGAGTCAAGGCACTTGTGAGAGCTACCCCGACAGCAGTGGGGCCCATGTGGAACTTCTTTTGTAAAGCAGACAGTTCTAATGCAGATTTCCTTTTATTGTATTACTTGTAATGAATGATTTAGTTGTCTGTCTGGGTGATCTCTTCCTGTTACAAAAAAAAAAAAAAAAAAAAACAGCTTTGCCATACGTTAAGCGGGTTTTTGTTTTGTTCGTTTGTTTTTTTTAAAAGTTTTTTAGGCGGTCACCGAGTTTGGGAATCCACGTATAAGAATATTGCATTTGAAGACCTTTAGTAAAAAAAACCCAGGTAAGTAACTTTTTAAAATCGAGTTTTGCCCTATTGTTGAGGAATCCAGATGCCTTCTTCACAAATGAGTTCACGGATAGCCTAGCTGAGTCACGTGACATCTAAGGTAAAAGAATTTATGCTCTAATAACGGCCTTTCGGGCTTTTTCAAACTTTTAATTTCTATTTTCTTCTCTTTTTCAAGCAAAAAAAATAAAAATAATATGATAGTCTGGTTTTTCCTCTGGAGACCTGATTTATATTGCGCATGACCCCCCTCTAATAGCAAGCTGTAAACAATTATTATCCCCTGAAGACCAAGAGACACTCAGAAACATTCTCGGATTTCCGCCAAGTGCACCCAGCGAGGTGTGCAGTTGGCTTGACATTCGACATTTTGTTGTTGTTGATGCTGTCGTTCCTTCAGTGAAGAATTCGGCGTCTCAGAGAGACTGTGCTTCTTACAAAGAGCGAACTCAGCGGAATCTGTTATCGGCTCTAACTGTCTTTGTCGTTGAGAGAATTGAGCTTGGATTGATTGACAGACGCCACAAGTTATTTTTAGAGTGCTAGACGTATCGATCCTTCTTAACTTACAAGTAGATCTCTGTGTTAATATTTTTTGGGGGGCAGGAGGTATCGATCGGTCTTGACTTAGATCAGTGTATTTACTAATTTATGGGGATTCCTGGAGAATAATTGGCCCTCTGCTTGCCTACTCAGCGGAGATGAAGGCGATTTATGGAGGCAATTGAACCAGACTCAAACCTCTTTAGGCACTCATTCACTCCCTGCCTTCCTCCCTGCCTCTTTCCCTTCCCCCATCCCTCTTCCCACCCACCCCATCTCTCTTCCTCCCTACCCATCTCCCTCCCTCAGTGATCCATTCAATCAATTAATTTGATCAATCCCGTAACTGACTGTCTGGAGGCTCTTGTGGTCTAGAGGATAAGGTGCTCGCCTCTCATTCAATAGGTCGCAGGTTCGAATCAGGACAGCGACGGAAAATGCTCTTCTCCCAAAAATGTTCTCCTTTCACATCCTTTCCTGCTCTTTAACAATGTTCTGTCGTCTGCTGTTTTCTCTACTTTCAGACCCCACCCCCTCTCTTCCTTT